CCAACTACGTCTATGGCATCCGGGCATGGCACATCCTGCATGGGGTCCCATGGAAGATGGTCGACCCTGAACTGGAGGCACTGCTCAAGGCCGCAGAAAAAGCAACCCCACCCACGTCAAAGAGGAAGAAACGCCAGCCATACACAAAAGATTTCATGGTTGCTATTCGCGGTCAGCTAGACCTCTCAACGCCCCTCCATGCTGCCGTTTATGCCTGCTTGACAACCACATTCTGGTCAGCTGCCCGAGTTGGTGAGTTCACGGTCAAAAACCTGACAAGCTTCGACGCAAACAAACATGTCAAACCCTCAAACGTTACAACCACGACAGACCAGAACGGCTTCGAAACAACCGAGTTCTTCATCCCCTCCACAAAGTCTGAACCCACCAACGGAGAGACAGTCTCATGGTCGAGACAGAACGGAGACACAGACCCGGAGACTGCATTCCACAATCACATAGATGTCAACTCACCGCCAAATGGTGGCCACCTCTTTGCGTACAAAGTAGGCTCAGGATACAAGCCACTGACAAAGCACAAGTTCATTCAAATTCTCACCACCGCAGCACGAGCAGTTGGCCTAGAGCCACTTCAAGGCCATGGGATCAGGATTGGGTCAACACTCGAGTACCTCCTGAGGGGGATTCCATTCGATGTGATGAAAGCAAAGGGAAGGTGGGCAAGTGACGCCTTCCTCGTCTACCTCAGGAAGCATGCCCAAATCCTCGCACCATACATGCAAGCAGACCCAGTCCGCCAGGAAGAATTTATCAGGCTAACCATGCCTCCACTACGCCGCCACTAATCAGGTAAGCAACCCCTGTCATGCTCCTAGCAGAGTGGGCTCGAGACTCGCTCGATGCGTCGCAGGACTCCTAACAATTGGGAATCGCGCTCATCTTGGCTTCTTTCACAGACCAGGAGCTCCTGCCGGGCACGAAAGCCTTCGGGCTTTCCGCCCATATATTACATCCAGCACACTGCCATTCCATACACCTATCCCTCTTACCCTAGTCTACCATCGTTAATCTAATGCTGTCACTCGCCAGACCTGCCTCAGCGCCATTCATAGATTTTGGCCTATAACGTAGTGAGGTACGAGCGTAGGGTTAGGGTGCGGTCTATGCATCAGCGGTGGCAGTGTTAGGTGAGGAGAACCTCTTTCTCCTCGACTGCCACCTGCTGCCCACGCTGAGAGCAGTCCAGCGTTGCGGGCTT